GGAATGCCCCCAAAGTCCCCCAATGGGGGTGGAAGATGGACTTGGCAACCCTAATTTCAGGACAGAAAGGTGGTGCTGGAAGAGGAAGGCTTAAAGCCCCCCTTTCCCACATGTCATAGTCCCAATCCAAATTCAGGCCTTGCATGCCTGGAAATCAAGGTCTGAGTATTTAATTCAAAGATTCTAACAATCTATTGAACTTGGGGACATACTGCAGAAAACGGTTTTGTGTGGTTTGTTCAGACCATTGTTCTATGAAGATCAGCACTGTCTGCCCTGACCAGCAATAACTCTTCAGAGATTCAGGTTGTGGGGGGTTTTTTTAATCACTTGCTACCTGAGCCTTATGAAGACCTTCTGTATGAAAAGCATATGCTCTGCCACTGAGCCACGCTCTGTGGAGGAGCTTCCTAGTAGACTACCCCCATGATTTATGAGATTTGACTGCTGACCTTGCAAGTTAGAAGGAAGTACATCCATACATTCCGTGGTAGTGAGAAGTAAAATAATAAAACCTCAGTTCATCTTTTGTCAACATCTTTTGATCCTGTTTATAATTTCCCATATTATCTCTAAAGATGTTAAACTTTATATACTCACAATTGTACTACGTGTATTTTTTTTAAAGTTTCTGGAATAGCCAAAACCGAATCTGAAATGTGTTATTTTACTTTTACCTTTCCCTTCATTCTTGGACAATCACTTAATTAAATTTTAGCTTTTGTTACATGTTTCCATCTCCCAACTGGAAAACAGACTGCAGTCACTACCCCTCTCTCTTCATCATAGGAAGAACAGTGACCAAGGCCTTCTTCTCTCGGTGGTTACAGAATTAGGCACTCTTGGTTTTGTGTTTCCTGTGATCCATCTGAATCTTTCCAATACAACATACATCCCATAGCATCATAGTGCAGACGAGCTGGATAATTTGACATGATGGAATAGGGAACTAAGAAACTAGAGTATCCTTTTGGCACCATAAATACAGTAATGGGAAATAAAAAAAACAGGGAGGGACTTTGTGACAATTGTTTATAGATACTTTCTGAGATTAAATAAAATAAAACTACTGAACTTACTTTTTTAGCAGTCAGCCAGGTCATTTACATTGCCATGCTCAATGTCCTGCTCAAATTCCTGGCTAAACAACAGAAAGGAATATAATTGTGAATGACTGGAGTAACTAGTCTCAGAACACTATCACATCTGGGTCCATAGAATGAAGAGAAGATACAGGGCTGGATCCAACCAGTTTTTTCCACTGATAAAAAGGAGAAGAAGGTGATCCTTTGATCACCTCAAAGAATTATTTTGAGGCATCATGGGATAAAATTTATGGTGACCAGGGGCTGTAGTAAAGAAGTGATTTGGGTGAGATTGGGAGGAGGAGGAGGAGGACGAGGTATTCTCCAGGTCTACTTACCCATCTCCAGGTACAAGGGATTTGCATTCTTCACTTGCCTGAATCCATCCACAATATGGATCTCGAGAAGCTATGCAAGCCCTTAATGGAGGAGACACATGTGAGTCATTCTAGATTTCTTCACATGTACCATTCGTATTTGGTGTAATTTTGAGAAAAGAATAAACAGTGAAAGAAAAAAGATATCAAGAACTACTTACTTCTTGCATTTGCCATGAAGCTCACACCTTCCCAATGGCACCTTTATTAAACAGTGTCTGAATGCCACATAAAGGGCACCAGACGGCTTGTCCAACTGCATGCTCACAATTGTTTTATCATGCCTACCTTTATAGTGGCACCTGATTTAAAGGGAAAAAAAGAATCAGTTCTATAACCCTTGATTATCATAACTATTTCACATAAGATTAAGGGCACAGGTCAGAAAAGCAAGCATATAATGAGAGATGCACAACTATTCCATATTTAGGTTCTTTTATTTTCTGTTCATATCCATTGTGAGCATTTATGACTTGCTTATTTTCTTTGCTAATTTCCCTGTTTTTTCAGTTATGG